GACAGCATAACCTGCCAGGTCGCTAGAGGGCTTTTTTAGTACAAAACATTTAAATCCATACTTATTCAATTGCATTGCATCTGCTCCATTATGATTAGCCTGTTACTCTTGACATTTCTACAAGGGAGCTATAGGGAACATCACATCTTCTGTGTCTCAAGAATCACAACAGACTTCTGTATAAGCAGCTTCCCCACTGAGAGCTGCCATTGTCCCTACCAGCCTCTTCACAGTAGTAGCTCTGCATGCTGATGGCTCCAGAGGTTACTCTCAAGCCAGGGCGAAAGTTGTGTAAACAACTAGGCACAAAACATAGGATGTGCTTTAGAAAGAGATATGAGCAAGTACTATTGGAGGAGGTGTAGAGAAATTAACTGGAGACCACCTGAGTGAATATGAATATGAATCTTGAAGGAGGTGTAGAAATTTCCCAGACACAACGTGGAGAAAGCACCAACCAGGTGGACAGAGGTGAGAGATCACAAAAGGGTGAGTGAGGTTTGGGGAAGGGGTGGTTTCATGAGGTTGGTGGAGGAGCTTTGTGAATCAGGTAGTGATGGTAGGTGAGAGGGGGGCAAAATTGGGCAAGGCCTTGAATGTTATTTTTTATAGAAAGCTTTTATTTAATAAATATAAATTTCATAGGTAAAACTTTTGGATTATAGTGGTTTTTCCCCCAAACCCTCCCACCCCCAAACCGTCCCACCTCCTACTCTCTCTCCTATCCCATTCTTCATTAAGATTCATTTTTAATTATCTTTCTATACAGAATGTCAACTCTATACTAAGTAAAGATTTCAAGAGTTTGCACCCACATAGACACAGAAAATTTAAAGTACTGTTTGAAGACAAGTTTTACTATTAATTCTCATAGTACAACTCATTAAGGATGGAGGTCCTACATGGGGAGCAAGTGTACAGTGACTCCTGTTATTGATTTAACAATTGACACTTTTATTTATGACGTTAGTGATCATCTGAGGCTCTTGTAATGTGCTGCCAAGGCTATGGAAGCCTCTTGAGTCCACAACTCTGACATTATTTAGACAGGGCCATAATTGAAGTAGAAGTTCTCTTCTCCCTTTAGAGAAAGGTACACCCTTCTTTGATGGCCCCTTTGAATGTTATTCTAAGAAGGGTCTGGATTCCCTCTGTTTGTGAAGAGAAGCCATTGATGGGTTTTAATCAGAATAAAGATGCATTGAGCCATAATACTAGAAAATGCATTAATAAAGTTAGTAAGCATGTGCTGAGAGCCTAGTAGCTTTTGGCCCTATGCTTTGGTGAGGAGTGGCAAAGCTACTGCCCCCACAGAGCTTACAGAAGGTACAGGAACCAGACATGGTCATGTGATTATGTGACATGGTAAGGTATGAAGGAGAAGTCTAGGGTATCACAGAAGCACATTCAAGGAGCACTTAACTCACTCCTGGAGGGTACGGGGTGGGGAACCTATTTTTATTTAAAAATTATTTTATTTATTTGAAAGAGAGAGAGAGTGAGAGAGAGAGGTCTTCCATCTGCTGGTTCACTCTCCAATTGGCCGCAATGGCCGGAGCTGCCCCAATCTGAGGCCAGGAGCCAGGAGCTTCTTCTAGGTCTCCCAAGTGGGTGCAGGGGCCCAAGGACCTGGGCCATCCTCTACTGCTTTCCCAGGCTGTAACACAGAGCTGGATTGAAAGAGGAGCATCCTGGACTAGAACTGGTGCCCATATGGGATGCTGGAGCATCAGGCCAGGGCTTTAACCCACTGGGCCACAGCATCGGCCCGGTGGGAACCTATTTTCCACCAAGGGCTATTTGGATATTTATAACAGCACTGGTGGCCCATACAAAACTATCAACTTAACAATTAGCCCGTTACAGATTTATCAAATTTCGAGTCCTACCTCTTGTTGCTTTGGCAGGGCCAGACTACATAATCTCACAGGCCTTATATGGCCCAGACGTTCCCCACTCTAGCATGTGGGTTATCTGGTTTTAGGGTGGTCTATGCCTTTTTTATGATTTTGTTGTTGTTTTCCAAAACTGTAAGTTGTAGAAAATTAATATTGATGCAAATGATTCTTGTCTAGAGAGGTGTGAATGAATTTTGTTCCATGGAAGTGCAATTGCTCTCCCACCACAAGAGTTTTGCATTTCTTAGCATATTCTTTCCAGTATTCAGCATTTCTGTTACCTGTAGCACCCTCTCCTGCTGTTTGGATTCTTCTCTGGATAGCTTTAGCTTCCTACCAGTTCCTTCATTAATTGAGGAATTAAATAAGACCTCTGATTCACATTCACTTTATATTTGTATGAGAATCATGATTTTAACCTTTGAAAATAGCGAATTTTTGACATGTGTTCAGAGTATGAACCGTCACTTGTTGGTTCCTAGAATTGAAAAGACTCCTGATTGCTATGGTCCTTTTAGACCTTCAAAGGTAAAGAGATGTTCTCAGCCCTGTTTCCCTCAGGGCGGGCAAGTACCTATCCTCACCATCAAAGATTGTGGAGGTGAACAGATCCAATAGTATTTCCGATGAACTCAGTTTTTCCATTTATGACCTGCAGGGGGCGCTGCTACAGACGCGCCACTCAGCCCGGCGCGCAGGACGTCAGAGGGGATTAGCATGCAGAAAAGCAGGGCCAGGTCCAGAAACCAGGCCTCGGCTCTGCCGACCGTATCCTTATGGCAGCCGAAGTCAGCACGCGGCAGGGCCGCAGAAGAAGGCAAAGTCCTGTGCGAACCGCAAAACTACTCACAGCCTGTCAACCGGAGGCTGAAGAGCAAATTCTCCGGAGAAGTCTCTCTCGGCCCGTTACTGCGCTCCACCCCGCTGGGATCTGCACACCACAGAGGGAATGAAGGATTCGGCTTTCCAAGACAACCACTTTTTACCTTAAATCCCGTTCCGTGGGTTACGAGTCAATCACTCCTCTCACGTGGGTTTCACAGCAAACTCCCAAGCAGGTGCTACCTCCTGAGAAAGTGCGTTTTCCCAAAGTTGCACAAAACATCTCGACAAGGACAGGCCTCTCTCTCTCTACCTCCCTCCCTCCCTCCCTCCCTCCAGGGTCCCGATGGCCAAAAACATCAAAGTCCTCATTCCTGCCCGCCCCCTCCCACTCCCACCACGACCCCCTTTAGGTCCGGCCTTGCGTGCGCAGATCCGGTCTCCCGGAGCGACCTTATTCCTCCCCCTTCCCCACGCACACCTGATGCGTTTGTTTCGGGGTGGGGGGGAACTGTCTCCCCGCCTGGCCGTGAGTCTGCCAAGGGCACCGACGGCGAATCCCAGTAGGAAAGGTGGCCTGAGGCCGAAACGACGTCTCTGCTCGTCCTCGAGCAGACGGAGGGATCTGCCAGCGCCAGTTCCTCTACTCCTCCGACCCTTCGGGTGCCTGGAGTTCGGGGAGGTGGAGCGAGCGCGGCCAGGCGCGGGCCCTTTAAGGAGGAGCGCGGGGCGCGGCCCAGGTAAGGGGCGGGCCGGCTGCGGATGAGCGCTGCGCGCCGGCGCCCGCCCGGGAGGCGGATTTGGAGCGCGCGGCCGCCGCGGGGGCTGGAGGGGCGGTGCGGCGGAGCCCTCGGTGGTGTGGGACGCACCTGCTCGCGAGCGGCCGCCGCCCGCCTCCGCCTGCGCTCCTAGCTCCCTCGCCCGGGCCCGGCCGGCCGCCACTTCCGGGCGCTCACCTGGGGCGCGCTCACCTGGGACGCGCTCCCAGCCGCGGGCACCCAGGCGGCAGGATGAAGGACCGGCTGGAGCAGCTGAAGGCCGTGAGTCCAGCCGCTCCCGGGGCCCCGGCGGGCGGGGCGGGACTGCCGGGAGCCGCCGGGAGGTGCAATGCCGGGGACAGGGGCTTCTCCTTTTCTGCCCAAATCGAGGCTGCGCGCAAGGCTTGTCCTTTAAGCCCCGCGGCATCCCGCGAGGGTGCCGCACCCTCCCCTCCCAGCGGGGTCATGTGCCCATGATTCACCGCCGGGCCGTGACTTCCCTGACCGCCTCCAGCGCTCCCATCTCCTCCCCCCACCTCCCAAGCAGAACCCGGGTTCAGGGGTGTGCGTGCGCCCTTATGCCCAGCGGGGCTTACGGGTGCTCAAGGGGTCACCTAACCACCTGCTGCCTGCTGCTGCCGGGCGCTCAGTCCAGAATCGGCCTCCTCCACCCCTCTTCCTGTTTCCCTTCTGGACTGCGTGGGGTCCAGCGCCCCCCTCTCCCCCAGGAGCAGCTGAGTTCCCAGGTGACCTCTCCAGCTGTGAGCTGGTCACGAGGTGGGGCCATTCGGTGGTCTGTTATCAAGTCCCAGCCTTGCCTTGAGATGGGAGTGGTCAGGGCAAAAGGACAGGAAGGTGGGCCGCCTCCAGGCCTGTGGCACAGAAGCGGGAACACCTTAAGCTACTTACTTTGTGGGGCCTGTGTCTGGTTATCTGTCAAGTGAGAATGATTATACCCGCTTGAGAGGTTTGTTCCAAGGATGACGTGACATAATGAGACATGATATAGACAAGTGTAAAAAGCCCGGGTTTTTGAGCCAGATATTTATTGACAGAGACAGTTATTGAGTGCCTTCCATGAGGCAGACCCAGTGCTAAGCCTCAGCGATCCTGGTAACACAGGCTGTACCGTAACAGAAGGTAGAATCTGGCCCTTGCCACTCACGATGTGGTCTTTCTACTCGGGAGCTTGTCAGAAGTGTAGCAAGTTAGCCCTCTTTCCCCACCCGCCGCATGTAGAACCATGGACTCAGACACCAGAACCAGCTACTGGCTCTCCCTTACACTCCAACTCTTGTTTTGTCGTCTGTAACATGGTAGTTGTGAGAACTTGAAAGTAGGAAAGCATGTAAAAGAATCCTTTGGTGCACAGCATGTAAGACTAAGTAAATGGCAAATTTTATGCTAATAGCTAAATGCTCTTTGGAAATTCATGTTGGGGACCACTGGGATGAGGCTGTGATTCTTAGCTGATTCTTTTGTGGCTCTTCCACCTGCTCTGGGTTGTAGGGCTGCAGAGTGGCAAAGGAGCTCAGGATATGAAAGAAGCAAAGGGACAGTTGCTTATCGTGGGAGGGAACCCTCTTGCCCCACACTTGCTCTTTGTCACTGGAGCCTGGCGTCATACTGGTGACCCAAAGGGCAGAATTTATTGCCCCTGTTTTATAGACAGAGATCCTGGAGCTTGCCCTGGGTAGGACGGTTGTCCCATCACAAACTGGTCAGGGCACAGCCCTCAGAGGAAGGCAAGCTCCTGACCTCTCCGCCGTGTCCTTTCCCTTCTGTTATACCGCTGGGGGAGGCAGGAAAAAAAAAAAAAGAAGAGCATGATTTCGAAGATCTTCCTGTGTGAGCACACCCAGCAAGCACAAAAAAACTGAACCGCAGACAGAGGCTGCTTTCTTCCTTTAGTTAGGAAATGTGTTTCCAGCGGAGGATACTCCAGAGCCCCTTTCAATAACCCATTGTCAACAAAGAGCAACAGTGCCTTAACTGAGCCTTCGATTCCAAGAATAAATTCAACCCGCCGAGGCACCCAAGCAAGTCCTTTCTCTCATGGCTACCGTCCGTAAAACAGCTAATGATACGCTTCCTCTCTTTACCTCTTGGGGACGCGGGGAAAGTGAAGACTATAGACGGTGCTGTTATTATGGGTGCATTGTTCTGGAATCACAGAGTGGTTACTGTAGCGTTTTGGAGAAGCGTGGGGGTGCAGGGTAAGGAGGACAGGGTTGCGAGTTCAAAGGCTTCTTTCTAATTGTGGTATTGCCACTTAGTAGCTGTGTTCCTTTATGCCCTCCTCTTTTGCAAAGCCAGGGGTTAGGTTGATCTCAGAACCCCTTTCTGACATTGTTACTGGTTTCTATGAAGACCTTTAAGAGTTACGTGGGTTTTTGGTGTTGATTCTACCTCCCGTACTCCCTCCATCGCTGAAGATCCCATCCCTGCAACAAGATGTACCATGCTCTCTCGCTGATTGAGGGAGCGTGTTTGTTAACCTGCAGTAAACAGTTCTGGCGGAACAGCCTGTGCTGTCTGTTTCTCTAGAGGTCTTTCTAAACCCTGGGGGAGGGGAGGTGATGATGGATAGCTGGAGGGCCGTCTTGTGGGTGAGATTGGCTTTGCTCTGTGTAGATGTTAGAAGATGTGGGGATGACGGTGGCAATTGGGAGTCTGTAAGGAAGCACTTCTGGTTGTTGGAGCTGCCCAGGGATGGGGTAGCGTGGTTGGGGAGGCAGTGAGCCCTCCAGCATGGGAGGGAGGCTGGCAGACAGCTTGCTGAGGTGTTGAAGGCTCTAGGAATTGAGGCACCTCTCTGAGGGAGGGAAGGTGAGCTGGCTGATTGAGGGCCTCCTTCAGTCTTGAGTCTGTCTGGTTCTGTGAGATGCTTTGTTTGTGAGCCTGTCCTAAGGCTTTGCAGTCCATGAAGACTGAGGCCTCAGAGTTGCACCTGTGAATTGGGTCATCATCCTTTTCCCATAGCGTCCTTGTGAGGATGAAACGAGGCAGTCCATGAGACTCACCCACCACAGACAATGAGAGTTCTCCAAACTGCTTCGAGCAGTGTTCTCACTGAGAGGCATACCTTTCTGATCCCAAGACCTGACTCACCTTCTCCCTGGACTGTTCCCTTCACCCTCCCCTGCCACGTGGACTGTTCCCTTCACCCTCCCCTGCCACGTTCAGGGTGCTCTCCTGTTCCTCAGTGACATAGGAAAGATTTGCCCGGGAATGTGCGGCGCCTCCTTGCAGCCCATCTCAGAAGGTGGTTCATACAGATGTCTCAGCAGCTGAACTTTGACTCTGCTGAGTCTGGATGACTTCTGGACCGGGGTCTTTTTTTTCTCTGGCTTTCTTTGCATTCTGCAAACATTTACCGAGAACCTACTGGGTGTCAGTTCCTGCTGTAGGTGCTGGGGTGTGGTGATTAACCCATCTTCCTGGCTGTCAGGAAGTTCACAATCAGGGAGACATACAAGAAATGAACATGGTGATACCATCTCTGTGATCTCAGTGACCACAGGAACACCCTCTGGGAGATGGGCAGGGAGTGGGGGATTCCTAGAACAAGTAGTACCTGAACTCAGGTCTCATTTTAATTGAGTTTCTTTGGATGCATGTAGAATTTCTTAAGCAAGGCAAGCAAGATCCTAGTGTTAGAGAATAAATAGTCCTAGAAGGGGAACAAATTTGTTTCATGAGAACAGCAATTAAAAAAATCAAAGGTAGGTGACGGTAATGGAGAAGCCAGTGATGTGTGGAATAGAGGTCAAGGACTTTGATCCCCTGAAGACTGATCTACAGTAGACGAGAACTGACTTGGAGATAGTGGTCCCTCCAAGGCCAGTTAAAATAGCACACTAACAAAATCAACCAGCAAGCTCCAAGGTGCAGCTTTTTCCTCTCTCTGTTCTATTTTGTGTCATGTTGCTTCCTAAAGACCTGTCCTTGACCTCCTACCCTGCGGAAGTTCTGGGATCTCTGTGGGATGGGAGTCCCTCAGATGGCACTGTACTATAATCCCATCAGAAATAGGTAGCTGTGCTTCCCCCCTTTAAAGCTTAAATCATTCAAAAAACACTGATTGAGCCTCTACCGTGTGCCAGGTGCTTTGGATCATAACTAAATCTTCACATAACAACTTGCCCCTTTATTAGATCCCAGCCTTCTTTAGTAAGACTCCTTTAAGCTCAGAATTCCTTCCTTCCCCACTCTCTGTGCCTAGAAGGATTCATTCTGTGGGAGAGATGTTTTGCTGTGAGCAGACGGGAAGCAGAGCTGAGATGAGAGTAATGGGGATTGAGTGGGGATTAGAGACCCATCAGCCAGAGGCCAGAGAGAAACGCTTGGATGAGAGAAGGGGATTAATTTTATTTTTATTCCTGTGGGTGTGGGGTGGCTGGGGGACAGGCAGGAGCTAAGTGAGAGAAGCTTGTTCATGTTGTCCCCTCTTTGAGTGCTTTCTCCCTGTCTTGTCAAAATTCCTACCCCTCTTCCTGTGCTCATTCTTTATAGGTAATTACTCCCTCATTGCAGCTAGCATATTCTGCCTTCATTCCTGCAGCCTGTGTTGGCTGTAGGTTGCTTTGCAATCAACTACATTTCTTCTGTGAAGTCAGTGGGGTTGTTTGTTACCCTGGAGTGGATTTGAAGCCACCTTCTATTCTTTCATTTTAAGTTGGACTCTTTGTCTTCTGTCCTGTTGTGTTGAAGTTCAGTGATTCTAATACAATGTTATTGTCACCATATCAACTACAGTAACATTGTTGAGCAGTTTCTTACTATTGAACCAGACTTGTGTTAGTTGCCTCATATACTTGGTCTCTAATCCTCCCAGCAAGGTGCTGTTATATTTTATTCACATTTTACAGGGAAGGGGATTGAGAATCTCTGGTGGGATCAAGATTTACATGTCTGTCTTACCTCATCTTACCACCCTGCACTTGATTTGGTCATCTCCCCAACTACACTGTATATTCCTTGATGCATTGGCAAATATATTCCTTTGGGGCCCACTGCCAGCATGCTGCATTGTAGACCTGTATTTTTGTTTTTAAAGATTTATTTATTTGAAAGGCAGATTTACTGAAAGAAGGAGAGACAGAGATCTTCTGTCCACTGGTTCACTCCCCAAATGGCCACAACAACTGGACGGGCTGGGCCAGAGTGGAGCTAGGAGCTTCTTCTTGGTCTCCCACATGGGTGCAGGGGCCCAAGGACTTAGGCCATCCTTCTCTGCCTTCCCAGGCACATTAGCAGGGAGCTATATCAGAAGTGAAACAGCCAGGACCTGAACCAACACCCATATGGGATGCCAGTGCTACAGACTGTGACTTTAATCTGCTGTGCCACAGTGCCCGCTCCAAAGGTAGACCTGTATTAAGCATTATCTGTTGGCCAGTTAACAACTTGGCCCTTACACATCCTTGAATACCCCATATTCATTACTGTGACTTACTGTTCTTGGCTCCATTCCCCGTGGGTTGGTGAAACTTGACCTGCCTGAAGTGGGACAGGAACTCAGGGAATCCCTAAGTTTGCTAATGAAGCCAGAGGTCACTGGCCCATGCCCAGGGACACATGAATTCCCATTCCCAGCTACACCCAACCCCCTGCAGCCCAAGACATGGTAGAGGGTATCTGGCTACTCCCCCTCGCCCCCCCACATCATCCTACTCACTCCTACAGGCTCAGTTA